ATACCCGATCCGAGAAAAATGGCACTATCGGAGCCGATACCCGATATGAATATCGGATCGGCGCATCCCTAATTATATTATGTGATAAAATTCTCATAATAAGATTACAGTTACTTTTTAATGGATTACATGATTACATCTTCACACATTGGCAGTAAATAATTCATAATTTGATTCACTCCAATTCTTATTTTTTCCTTTTAAATTTTCCTTTCTGAATGAACCTACCACTTATATATAGTTTGAGAAACTCTGCTGTAATGGAATGTTCAATGCATTTCATGATGCTGATAACAAACAATGGAATATATGTTCTTTCTCTTTGTTTATCAACATGGTACACAAACATCCCATTCAAATCTATGTGATAAATGAGTTAGGTCAAAAGTAATCTAAAAGTAATAAAAAAAGTAGTAAGACTACATTACCTAATATGTGTAATCCAGGTTATGCTACTTAATACAATTTTCATCATGTAATTTGTAATCAGTAATGGACTACAATTTGTAAGTAGCTTACCCAGCACTGCCAATGTCTCTAAAGCCATGTGCTCCAAAAATGAAATGATTTGAATTATGCCTTTTTGGATAATTACGTTTTTAAATATCTCTTAACTTAACTTAAGGTGGGCGTACACGGTGCGATTTTTGCTGTCGTACGAGCTCGCGGGCGATTTTTTTCTCTCGGGAGAAAATCGCAGATGCTCGCATGGTCGCAGCTCGTACCGTGTGAGAAGAATTACGGGCCGATCCGAGACGTTACGAGCACCTCCCGTCCTCCCGGTAATTTTCAAACATGTCAAAAAAAAATCGGATGCTGTCGGTTTAAATTCGTGGCGTATGTGCGGTTGAACGAGACGATTTGGCGATCCATCTGAAGTTGACCAATCAGAAGATGCCAAAAACCATATAGTCTATAATAATTTTAGTTTAATTATACAGTTCTATTTTTTATTTGTTATTCTGAATGTGCCAAATTTGCCGTTCAGCTTTATGAATGAATATGCCTGTTGTATTTCCGGCAAAACGAGCAGAAATTCA